CAGAATGCAATGTGAGCTAAAGAGAGAGAATAGAAAGTCATAGAGAAGCAGTATTTAGTGAACTAACAAAACTAATGAAAGACGCTCATTTCCAGATCCAGGAAGTACAGACAATACTAAGAATATAAATAAAAATAAATTCATACCACCTCATCATAATGAAACCATGGAATACAAAAGATAGAGAAAATTGTCAAAACAGCCAGAAGGAAAAGATAACTAAAATGAAGCCACAATGAAACTGAGAGAGAACTTCTCAGCAACTACAGAATTTGTAATAGTATGGGAAAATATCTTCAAAATGTTGCAAGAAAATTATCTTCCACTTTGAATTTTTACCTAGACATGATCCTTTAGAATGAAAATTAAAACTGGAAAATAACAACATTTTCAATAAAGCCTGAGAGACTTTTATTAAAGGAACTCCTAGATTTAATTCTGAATCATGGAGCTATATGAAAATCATATTTTATTAAAGGTGCCAAGTTTACTATAATGACATTCATTTATCTTTTATTTGTTATTTTTAGATATACATGAAAGTAGAGTATATTTTGACATATTATACATACATGGAGTATAATTTATTCTAATTAGGATCTCATTTTTTGGTAGTACATGAGGTGGAGTTTCACTGTGGTGTTTTCAAATATGCACAGAGGAAAATTATGTCAGATTCATTCCACTGTCTTTCCTATTCCCATCCCCTGCACCCCTTTCTTTATTCTCCTTTGTCTAATCCACTGAACTTTTTTTTTCCCCTTTGGTATCAGGGATTGAACTCGGGCACTCAACCACTGAGCCATATCCGAGCCCTATTTTGTATTTTATTTAGAGACAGGATTGCACTGAGTTGCCTAGTGCTGGCTTTAAACTCACCATCCTCCTGTCTCAGCCTCCTGAGCTGCTGGGATTACAGGTGTGGGCCACCCATGACTGGTTTATCCACTGAACTTCTACCTGCCCCTCACTATTGTGTGTTAGCATCTGCATATCAGAGAGAACATTTGACCTTTTGTTTTGGGGGATTTGCCTTATTTCACTTAGCATGATAGTCTCCAGATCTATCCATTTACCAGCAAAACTCATCAAGTCATTCTTATATATGGCTAAGTAATAGYTGACATTCTTTTAATTTTTTTAAAGAAGAAATTGGTTTAAATTGTTGAGAATTGGAAGTAATACAACTATCATTAATTCAATTTTTTTTCAAATAATTCTGTTTATGACTTGTTATGTTCATAGAATTATCACTTATATCTGATGCCAAACAAGCAATCTGTGGTATAAAATTACTAATAATTTCATTATTAATATTGTATAGTGGCATGTTAAATCAAAGTGCACTGTAGTCCACAAGATTTCGGTCAAAATAATAAAAAGAAAACTATATAAAAGTCCACAGTATAAAAAATAGATTTAGAATTGTTATATTTGTAGTTTTGATGTTCAATAGTGTAAAAAATATTTTCTGAAGCAATAATCCTTCAATTACAGCTATAATGTTGGCAAAATTTCATGCTTTAAAAAATTTGTTCTAATTTCCAGAAAGGAGAAAGGGAAGAAGATTGCAAAGGCTGTGTCATTTATTTAAAAGAAAGAGAGAGAGAGAGAGAGAGAGAGAGAGAGAGAGAGAGAGAGAGAGAGAGAGAGATTGCTATTGCTATATTAACGCTGAATGTACTTGGGTATGTTAAAGAGCCATTTGCAGCTTGTACTTTTACAAAATTCTGTAGAATGAGAAAATTTGGCCATATGGTCTCCAAATTCTATTTCTGGGTCTAAATGTAGCTGTCATGATTATACATGCTAGGGAATCTAGGTGAGTTTATTTCTATGATCCTTTCTGAGAATGTGTGTTTCAAGGTAAACTGAGGCAATCAGTAGTCTCTATGAGGGTGGAAGCAGGGGAGGGGACTCCAAGGGAAGAGAGAAGGAAAATGGGGGGGGGTATTAAATGGAGGGATCTAAAGAGAGGGAGGGAGGGACAGGGAGAGAGAGAGAGAAAGAGAGAACGAGCTAGAAACGACCAATAACTATAAAATGGGAGGAAGATCTAGAAAAAGGGTCATGATCCACATTAAAATGTACCTCTCCACCCAGGGATACACTATTCCATTTGCATACTAAGTGGGAAAGAATGATTGTGGCTCTGTATTATGACAGGAAATGAAAGATATGCAACAGTATAATGTGTGAATTCAGGCACATAGGTTATTTTGTCAAAATAGAAACACTGATAGATAAAAAGCACCGAATCATGGAATCATCTGCCACTGCCTGTCACATCATGCTTTTGCTCCTTCCTTCCCCAGTGATTTCTACTTTTTTTTTTTTTAATTTGGCTTTGAAGCTGTTTTAGGAACAAAAGCACAATTCCCGTGTTTTTGGAGAATGACTAACGTTTACATTTCACCACGATGTGACAGTCAGAGTGTCCCTGGAAACAATCCACAGTTATCACATGTTCATCTTAGACTTAATGACTCAGAGAGGATTCCAAGATCACATATTTGGTGGAAGGGAARCTGTATCACTGAGTCATATTAGGATTAGCGGATGATGTTCCTCAACAAAGCCATTTATTTACGAAGTGAAAGAAGCTTTCACACATTTTTGCAAGGAGCAACTTGGACGAATCCCTTCTTAATTAAAGGCGTCGCAACTGCTACCTTTTATTACACACTTTTTGGGACTCAGTAACAACAACACACTCAAGCTCTGGAAAACAATCTTCCACATAGACAGAACATGCTCTGGATGAGAAACATTCAGTGAGTTCTTCTCTAAAGAAAAAGCAATTGTTTTGCTCCTAGCTCAATTCCTAAGCATGATCTTCAGAGACTGTCCACTGAATGACCTAATTTCAGTGAGACTGACACCCTGGTTCTTCTCCCCATCAGTTACTAACAAAGCTTATTATCTGGGGTCAGGCAGAGTTTCTGGCCTTCTCCATGGTACTAAGTGTTGTTGTTTTTTTTAACTAAATGTTTCTAAAYATTTAAGCACATTTCATTGACCTGATTATGAGAGTACTAAGAATATTAACCAGAAACAGAATGCCAGACCTCCATGCTGGGCATTTTATGCATATTATTTCCATTCTCTACCATTAGTGGGGAATGTTCATCCCTTGCTATTTTTGCATGAAAGGGAGAGAACATCCATGGCTATGTCTTTATGTCCTTCACCTCTCCTCACTTTTAGTGAGCTCAGAAGGAACAGCCTCATCTTTTCTCTCTCAGTCCCACCTGCCTGCAGGGAAGGGATGTCCTGATTTGTTCTTTATATAATGAGCTCACCAGGGCAGACTCTGTCCAGTCAGCTGAGGACACCTACACACTTGCTCATGAAAAAAATAAAARGTAAGACCTCTCTGGCAAGGAAGCCAGAGTGATCAGAGGGTGATCAGAGGCTCCAGTTTAACTGCATTAGGAATTAAGCTAATATCTTGATTTTCACTTTTCTTAAAGCTTTGCCTTCTCAGTTGGTTGTGACCCAGAGGAGAGTGAGAGCAGTGTCATCACGGATCACCTGGACCCACAACACTATCCAGGATGCTGTATAGTGATGGTTTGTGCTGCTCAAAATCTCTGTTCAAGCAACAACCTGCTGCTGGGAGAGAAATAAGCTGACATCATCTGGCAGCCACACTTTAGGGATCCAAAACATGAACCTGGGTTCATGCCAAGGCCATTTTCCCCCTGTGCAGCTTGCAACCAGTGACTGAGCATGGGACAGTGGGATATTAGAGCCCAGTCATTCCTGCTTAATAGGAGACTCCTCTAACGATCAGTCCTTGTGCTGGGCCTCCCCAGACTTTCTTAGATGGCACTGCTGACTGAGGATATTCCTAATTCATCTTTCTTCCTGCTTTCTCTCTTTTTCCTTCTCCTGCTCCCTCCCTTATTCCTCTGCCTTTATTCTTCAAAAGCATAATCCCCAATAAATATTTGCACTTTTGCTTTCATCTTAGCATCTTCTTCCCTCAAGGGCAGAATTGACTCTATCAGCAATACTATACTCTTCATTTCACCAAAGAAATGGGGCTCCAGKCAAGAAAGTAGAAGACATAATAGGTATGTTCCTTTTTAGAAGTTTATGAATATGCTTAGGTTTGATCTTCACTTGAAAAAAAAAAATACCCTGTTCACATTTTTCTAAAAGAACATTTGAATGACTTGGATGTTGTACCAGTGCTAGAAAGGGGAGCATCATCTCTTTACAAAACTGAGCAAAATTGGACCTGCCCATTCAAGTGCAAAAATATAAAGAAAGATACATTGCTTCTAGAAAATAAAAGAGAAGATTAAAGACAAAACATTTCCAGCATTCACAGCTGAGGTTTGATTCTGGAAAGACTGAGTGTTATTCAGGAGATAAACAAATTATACCAATAAGCCAACTGCTACAGCACAGATCTTCCTGTGTCAATCTTGACCTTCACCTTTACAGAGTTTCAGAACATGTAACTTGTGAGCACTTCCCACAATTTTCAATTTCCAGAGATGGAAAGTACTTCATACTGAGAAAATGAAGTTTTAAAATTTGGTTTTTATGCCAGGTATGGTGGCATATGCCTATAATCTCAGTGGCTTGGGACGCTGAGGCAGGAGGATTGCAAGTTGAAGGCTTGCCTCAGCAACTTAGCAAGGCCCTAAGCAACTCAGTGAGATCCTTTATCAAAATAAAAACCAAAAAGGGCTGGGGATTGTAGTTCAGCGGTAAAGTGCCCCTGGGTTAAAATCTCCAGTACAAAACAAAATAAAAACAAACAAACCCCCCAAAACATAAAATTTGGTTTTTACCTTAACAAAAACATCCAAATCTGATTTTCCATYCTTACATGCAAAGGATAGTAAATATATAAGGAAAGAATAATAGAATTGCTCTGTAATTTTTTGAACCCTTAAGAATATCTGAACTACACAAAATTTAAAATTAACTACAAGTTTATTTTCATAGTATAATTTTCTAAAGGAAGAAAGAACAGGACTTACCTTCACTAGAGTCTTTTGAACCTTCTAGCTTCTTTGCTTTGCTCTTCTTGTGGGGTGGAGAGAGACCTTTTGGCTCTACCCCCTCTGGAAGTACAAAGATTTCATACATTCTTATTTAAATATTTACCAGTAGGGTTCAAAATTGTGTTGAAGTTTAAAGATGTTTTCTTTTTAGTAAACCCACACACACTGAATCTTAATTGCAGATTCATCTGTCATCACAGCTGAGCTAAATTTTGGCAAGGACTCCTGATTCTCCAACCTACGTAGACTTAAACTTTAAGGTTTTTAGCTAAAACAGTTTTTTTTTCTTTTGTAGACACCATTAATGACTCACACACATGAACTACAGACAAGTGCTTTGTTCAATTTAATTTTTTTTCTATAAGGGAACCTTAAATCATATATATTGTTTTTCTCCAAGAGAATAAAACTTCATGGATTGACAGTGATCATTGACCATTTCATCGTAGTCCTCAAAGTAGGGCTAGATGAAGTGCAATGTCATCTCGTGTTTGAGGGGTGAGGTGGGGCCTGAAACTCTATTGCTTCTTTGTAACAGACTTCTTTAGTAATCCAGATTCTAAACAACTTCCACATGTCCCCAATTAAACTACTGTGCTTCCCATTTCCCTCGGTGTTTTGCTAAATCTGTCCAAGGAGGTTAATAAATTAAATTAGGAACGTGTCTCCAAATTCATCCCTTCTGATACAGTGTGCTCTGCTCAGCATTGCTTTATGCGTCCAGCCCTGGGGGTTCTACTGAGCTCTGGGTTTATATCTTCAGCTGGGAGCTTCCTGCTACATCCAGCTCAGGGGAAGCCAGGGTGTTTGCTTCCTAGAATCCTGGTAGTCTTGGGATGGTTGTGTTCCTTAGTCTAAGGTTAAAGTCCCTGTCAATTGGTCTTCTCCACAGGGCCCTCTCTGTCTCTTGGGCCCTCTGGCTACCCACTCCCTATTGTCCCTTCCTGGCTGGGACTGAAGTGTGCTCCACTCCTCTCAGCCCTGATGATTTCCCTTCACTCAACTCCCGTCAGGCATTTCAAACTTAACGTGAGCCAGAGCCATACACTGGGGGTCTAGAAACCCCTCCTCTACCCAGTACTGCACAGCTCAGGGATGGGTGTTATGTGCTACCCACTCAGGAGCTAAACCCCAAACCTGAGATGCCATCCTCAATATTTCTCTTGCTTTACTTTTCCATTCCAAGCAATCCCAAGTCCTATCAGCTCTGCTCTGAAATATATCCCAGATTTATCTGCTCTGCTCATCAGTTGTAATCACAGTCGCTCAAAACAGCAGCAGCTTTTGCTTGGGTTACAGTAATCTTCTAAATTCTAATTTATAGCCTTCTAATCTCTCTGCTTCTACTCTTTACTTCCTCTGATCTGTTTTCCACACATCAGCCAGTGCGATCTTGGGAAAACAAGGCAGGTCATGTCGCTTGCCTGTTTAAAAATACCGTTATTTAGAATAAGATCCTAATCTAACTCTATGGCCTAGTCCTGTACTTCATTTAGGCTTCATCTACCTTCTTAGCCTTGTTTCTCACTTGTTCTTTGTGTTCCTCAGTCACTGCAAAGCTAGTTCCTGCCTCAGGGTCTTTGCATCTGCTGTTGCTGCCCCCATCCACCCCTGGAACAAATATATGTATATGTCTGCCCTGTATTTACTCTTTGAATCTCAGATCAAATTCAGCTCCCTAGAGAGGCCTTCTCTGACCACCTAATCTAAGGGGGCTCTCACAAGGGAGGTCTCTTCCAAACACATCAGTTATATCTGAAATTATCTTGTTCTTTTGTTTTTTTTCTTTATGTTTCGATCCCCGCCCTGGTCCCCAAGAATGTGAGTTCCATGAGACAAGGGCACTTGACTTTCCAATTCCTCTTATATCCTTGGTGCCTAGCAGTACCATAAGAAATTTATTTTAAGTTCTATTTTATATTTGCCTCACTCAGGCCTTTTTTTTAAAGTCAATATATAATGGCACCCATGTCTAACTTTCACTCTCTTGGCAGCTATTGCCTTGTGCCAGGATTCCAAAATTATACTATAGAGCTAAGGCAATTTGTTTTTCTTTTCCCATTTATTAAAAAAGGAACAGAACAACTTTAGAAACCCACATTTGATAGATGTGTTGTTAAAAATCTTCAGTGTTATAGACTACAAAGGTTTTGGGCACTAGGCTCACTTTTTCTGGGTTGCGAGTCAATCACATCTAAGGTCATTACTATGGCCAGGGTGAAAAATTTTGCCAATGACTACATTAGCAGCCCTCCCCTCCCAACTTCTGTCACCAGGTGTGAGATGTGTGTTGACCTTTGGAATGGGTTCAGCAAAAAAAGAAATGAGATACTTGGAACAGCTCACTGAGCACAAATACTGGCTCAAAGAGATTCATAAAATGGGCAAGGCGACTTTTGCAATCTCACTGGGAGAAGACTCTAATCCTTTTGTGCCCCTGAAGTGTGTCATCTGCAACTGGGACCAACAGGACAGTTTSCAGTGCTGGAAATCCAATTCCAAACCAGGAAGTCTTAAATTCCCAATTCTTGCTTTTCCACCTGAGGGAGAATTCTTGGGGAGTAGGTGAGATTTAGAAAGACAACTGCCCACATTTTAAAATATTTAAGTGTTCTTAAACTGCAACATATTGGGGCTGGGGTTGGGGCTCAGTGATAGAGTGCTTGCCTAGCATGTGAGAGGCACTGGGTTCGATTCTCAGCACCACATACAAATAAATAAAATAAAGGTCCATCAACAACTAAAAAAAAAAATTAAAAACAACTACAATATCTCTTTTTTTTTTTTTTGTTTTGTTTTGTTTTTGGTGGTGCTGGGGATTGAACCCAGGGCTTTGTGCATGCAAGGCAAGCACTCTACCAACTGAGCTGTATCCCCAGCCTGCAACATCTTGTTTTTGAAAAAAGTTGTAGGGTTCTCCTTCAGTAGTCAGTAGATGTGGATGCATATTAATTATGAAGTTGTCCATGATGTGGATATTCTATCATTTCATGATACCCATGATTAAAGTGTTCTACAGCATTCAAATGAAAGCCACTGATACACATGCTTCTGTCCCCAGGTTTCTACTTGTGGTTCAGCAGGAAACTCCGGGGGAGCTAAAGGGTAAGTTGTTCTTGTTTCTCCTCAGAAGTATCCCSAGGCTTCTCCTTGACAGTGTGCTGTGTTTTCTAGGTTGCCTCTGTTGAAACCTGGAGCTTTGCCATGAGCAGGACTTTGCCCTCTGGGGAACTCAGCTGTGCACCTGGCACTGCTGTGATTGAGTTGCCATTGGTGGTTGCTGATTCTCTATCCCTGCTGGCTCAGACTGGGGCCAATTTCAACAGTGCATGGCCATGGAAATAAAAGGACATGGGGAAATAGTTACCACGCTAAGATTAAAGATGATGATTAAAGGACATTAAAGGAATTCTGGGAATTTAAGCTAGTCTATTTTTTTTTTCCATTTCTCATAAGCGCTTCACCATGAAGAAAGACCTTGTCTGACACAGATATCTGAGATGTTCCTACCTCTATATACTATAAGAGTCTGGACATAGGAGAAAGAAAGCTACAAACCTGGGCCCTGGGGTCAGGCCAATCTGGATTTGTATTCTGGCTGTGTTATCTAACCAAGAACTAATCCCTCTTAAGCCTTGATAATAACATTTCCTACCTCATAATGTTGTACATATGAAATGAGTCCATGCATGACAAGTGATTGGCACAAGTGGATGCTTGATTAAAAACTGGCTGAGCAGCGGTGTGCTGAGGCTGATCTAAGCCAGCTCACACCAATTAATTGCACCATCTCTTCTGAACTCTCACGCTCATTGGCTTCATGTTGGATAGTTTGAAAAAAAAAAAAAACAAAAACAAACGAAACATGGTAGGTGTATTCACACCACAGAAATCTGCAAACTCTTCACACGGGGGCTCCTCTACTCTATCATTTTACTAGAACACCACTGGTTTTTCGGTATTTAATTTGCTATTCACTATCATTCAACAGCATTTGTTGGCAGGTTGATTCACTCAAGTAGTCCTTCACTTGTGTGAATTGCATCCTTAAAAATCCCTCCAGCTTTTTTATTTGTATTAGAAAAGGTGATGCAGGACAGAGGAAAGGCAGCAGTTATTGGTCTTGAGACACTGATTCAGACGCTTCCTGGGGACAAACACGCTCTAGTGTGAATAAAGCCAGCCTGCACACCAACGTCTGTCAGGGCCAGCTGGCACGCCAGGGAACCATCCAGCACACAAATCCCCCGTGATTTCAGCACTCAGATATTAGGAAAGGGAGAGTAGCTCCCCAAGCCCACTCTGCCTGAGTGGCTTAGCATCCTTGGGCCTTCGAGTGTGACTTTAGCAGCTGTGTTCAGCTGCAGGAGATAAGAGTCCCAGGAAATCTGGTGGGACTAAAATCAGAAATGATGATCCAATTAATGCCCTAGACCTCAAATGCTGACTCCAACCCTGTATACTCTGCATTAGCATTAATAATGATTTCCTTAAAATCACTCAGTGGTTTGGATAGATATCTAAATCTCATTAAGAAGTCAACTCCCTTTGCCTAAAAATATGTACTTAGGGCACTTAGGCAAATGATCCATGGCAAGATAAGCTTCTTATATTGGCTGAACAAAAGGGCTATACCCCCACAGACAACACTTTCAAGGACACTTTATAGAAGCAAGATAAATGAGAATAGCAGAGATTAACATTCAATTTGTGGAAGTTAATCCACAGCAGGGTGGCCATTTAAAACCTTTTCTCAACAATGTATTTTTTGAGAAAATATTGTTCTTTAAAAAATAAGACATTCTACATGGGTCTAGAAATTGAAACTTTTAGTAGAAAATTTGTCTTGGGCTTTATGTTTTTAAAAAATCAAGTAGAATCCTTGTAATAAATCTAATCTTCTCAGAAGGAAACACCGAGGCAAGGGTTTGAGTAGTTAATTTGAGACATGATTCCAGGAAGCACCAGAAAGGTGAGACAGGAAAAAGAAGACAGCTGATACCAAGTGTGTTAATGAGTAAATCTGCACTGGGGCTCAACTCTCCTAGAGACCTCTGAATGATGGTATAAAATCATGACGTCCAATACCACAGCCCACTAGTCACATATCATGGATGAGAGTTGAAAGGTAGCTAGTCTGAATTGCAATGTGAATGTAAGATACACACCAATGTCTAAAAATTAGCAGTGTCAAAGATTTAGTTTTGAAAAAGGTAAAATATGTAATTAATCTAATTTCTATATTGATTATGTCAAAATGGCATTATTTGGGATGTTATACAAAATATTTTTAAAACTGATTTCATTTCATTTTGTTTCTTTAACGTGACCATGAGAAAATCTAAAATTGTACATGAAGCTCAGATCTGAGGCTCACGGTTTATTTGCACTGGGTGGTAATGGAATATAACTTGCCGCTGATGTAGCCTACAGGAATGGTGGGTGATTAACCAGTTCTTGTTCAGCACTGATTGGAGTACCTTGAGTTTGCCTTCATGACCACAGCAAAGTCTTTAGCCAGGAGGCAATAGAATTCTTTAGAAAGCTAATATCATAAAACAATAATGAATGCTGAGGGGACATAGGTAGGGCACCAACAGATGCTACCACCCTCTTCATTCCTGCTTCTGACTTTCAGATCCTCCCACAACTTCTCATGCCCTCTTGATCCATTGCTTTTGGGGAGATCAAGAGGACCTTTCAAAAATCAGACATGTCTGGACTGGGGAAGAGTAGATAGAAGCTATGATCATTGTTCCAATGAACTTTCATGAAGAAAGGGAACTGATGTTATTTCCCCAGGAAGATAGTCAGCGGTCAGGGAAGAGAGAGAAGTTTAACTGAATAAGCAGGAGGCCCATTTTAACCAAATGAAATCTGTTGCAGAAGAATCTGAAGAGCCTCCTATTAACAGAGCTGCTCAAATTGAGATTGTCAGTCATTTGTAGGGGGTTCTGGCAACAAATAGGGGGTAACACAAAATTAGAACCGCCAAGACATCTATTTTAATTTTGAAACCTGGCCCAATTTCATGGCGAGAGCAGTGCAGTTGCTGAAATGGAGAGCATGGGAATCTTGAACATAGAATTAAGTGCTATGCCTTTCCAATATCTGTTAGAAATGAGAGACAAGAGAGAAAAAAAGAAAGCAAGAATGTATCGCATCGTTACTGTGGCCCAAGCACTATGAGGAACATTTGAGGTATGTTACCTCATTTATTCCCTTAAAAGAAGCAATCTGGTGAGAAGCATAAAATGAAGTTTATAGAAAAAGACACTTGCTGAAGGTCAATAAGTGGTGTAGCTAGAATTGAATACAGGGCTATTGATCTATGTATTCATTGTACTCATTAGTAAGGACCTATTAAGTGTCTACCTTAGGCAAGAACACATGCTTTTATCTACTAGATTTCCCTCATAGACACTTAAGGAGTTGGCATGCATCTTAATTTCAGATAATGAGAACAACATGCCATATATAGAAATTGTATTTTCCGAAGATGGCCACAGCAACATTTTAGGTTTTTCCTGCTCTGCAGAACCACTCACCGTCAAGAGATTAAACCTATATTTTTATCCTGAAGCTGGGAGTACTATTCCAAAGAGTATAGTTCAGTGGAAGTGATTCAATGGGACTTGTGACCCTGGATCTTAGGAAGGGTAAAGCTTCTCCCTGGCTCGCTCACCTTTTCAAGAGAAGTGCCACTGGCCATCATGCTGTCAGGAAGTCCAGGCCACATAAAGAGGCCATGTACAAGTATTTCAGAAAAATTTTCCAATTTAAGTTTCAGCTGATAGCTAGAATCAGTTGCCAGCCAGGTAAGTGAATGAGTGAATTTTCAGATGATTCCAGCCTCCAGCTCTGGAGACCCTTGTGAGCCCCAGACTTCATGGAACAGGATGATTGGGTTATCTCTGCTATGTTGTCTGAATTCCTCATGCACAAAATATATGAGCATAAGTGGTTGTTCTAAGCACCAAGTTTTGGGGGTGATTTATTATACAACGCTATRATAAACTATAACATCATGTTAAGCATAGTTTTTGCCTTAAGAGTTAGTGCAACTACTTCCTTATTTTACAACGTTGAGCATGCATGTCTATTTTTATTAAGCTGATTTTGTCTTTCTTTGAAAAAATATAGGGTATAAATAAAGAAAAACCTGTCTCAAATAATAAAATCATAAGTTCAATACCTGAATCTTCTTTCATGTCAACATCCTCTTCCTCATTGGTATCATCTATTAAAAGTAAGAGAAGATAAAGAGAGATTCATATAAGAGCTAAAAATCCCAGAATGTTCCACTTTGACTAATAAAATATATTTTTTTAAAAAAGAGCTCAGTAAAAAGACACTCGTTCATTTTTGTTGCCTTATATCATTGTGTTGAGTTACAAAGTGAACACATTTAAGGCACTATTTAATATCCAGGGTTTACATTTATGTTTTATAAAATTATTACATATTTGTAATAAGTTGTAATATTCAGTAATTCATTTTACTTACACAAATTATGCATGGTCACCTAAATCATTTTAATTCTCCAGAATTGTGAATTATGGACTTTAAATTTCACATTTTCTACGTTTATTAAAGGCGTGCACTCTTATCTCAAGTATCAGAGAAATGCAGACATCAATATTTGGTTGAATGTTAAACACAGACACATGTTAAATCCCTGTATGGCGCCATGAAAACACCACTCTGCTACACTTGTAAATCCAAACATTTATGCTTTCAAGTGCCCCTAGTGGTTGAACCATTCCCATGTAAGTCCCCTTATCTTCCAGCGTGACCCTTTTAAGTAGGGTAGGATGTGTGATTCCTCTGTGTTGTAGATGACACGTGCTCTTTTGGACTTAGGGCATACTACCACATCTTACCTTGAATGGCCTCCATATCCAGCACCAGTCTAACATCTATAWCCCCACAATTCCTGTGCTGAAATCCTAACCCCCAAGGCTATGGCATTAGGAAGTGAGTCCTTGGGAGGTGGTTTGATCATAAAGGTGGCACCCTCACAAATGGGATTAGTGCCCTTATAAAGCATCTGCAAGAGAGACCCCTGGCCTCTTCTGCCATGTGGGGAGATGGGGCAAAGACACTTTCTATAAGGAATTGGGCTTTCATGTTGATCTTGGATTTCCAGACTCCAAAACTGTGAGAAATAAATTTCTGGTGTTCACTGTATGGAATTTTGTTAGAGCAGCCCAAGTGGACTAAAACATCAGTCAGTGCCAAGTCCTGCCCTGTGCTCCTGTTTGTTYCTCTCTGTTCACATTACTATACTCTAATTCTGACTCCAAGTACACTTTGCCTTAGGTATCTTAGAGTTTCCTAACTACTCTTCTCTTCTTCCCCTTTCCTACTCCCCTTTAACATATGGCTGCCAACTCATTATTAAAATATAGGTCTGACCTGATTCATAGCCATACATTAATTGCCGTCTGCCTAATGAGAAAAGTCTAGACCCTTCCCTGAGTATTGAGGAATACTCAAGGTCAAAGCTTTTTAGTTCTTAGTTTCCTCACTTTCGTTACACCAGTATCATCACCCACACAGATGGCAACGTTCAACTACTCGTCCCTGTTCTCTCAAGATACCTGTCTTAGTCCCTTTTTTGATGCTACAACAAAATGTTTAAAGCTGGGTTCTTTATGAATAACAGGGATTTATTTAGCTCACAGYTTTATAGGCTAAAAGTATATCTCTTCATCCTCCAGTAAAGGCCTCTGGCTGCATCCAACATGGCAGAGGGCATCGTTGTGGAAGCTCATACAAGAGCAGTGCATGTGGAAGACCTCATGTGGTGAGAGAAACATAAAAAGAATGGAGAGGGACCAGGGTCTCTCTCCTATAGCAAGCCAATCTCATGAAAGCTAACCAAGTCCTAAGAGAACTACATTACTCCCTCCCTAGGGTAGTGCCTCCATGATCTAATTATCAAGTMCCCATCACCTCTATACCATTACACTGGGACCAAGCTTCTAGCACACAGACCTTTGGAAGACAAAACATACCCTAACCTTAGCATTCTCCAATAGCTTCCTAAGCCTGCCTTACTCTTGCTGGGAATGCCCTTCTCCACTTTTATTCACCCGAATCTTTCAAGGTCAAGCTTAAAGTCTCTGATGGAATTAAGCAGGGTTTGTACTTGGAAATAGACAAGACACAGCTAAATCAGAGAGGAAGTCCACAAAGCTTTCTACAGCATCTGTTTAATCCAAGTCTGAATGAATAGTGTTCTTTTTGTTTTGCCTTATTTTTATTGCCTCCTGAGTATGAATGTTAAGGATATTTGGGCTTAGGTCTGCATATTGTTCTCAAACTACCCATTCACTTGGCATGCAATCTTGGAGAAATTACCTAATTTTCCTGATATCAGGTTCATCATCTGTGAAGTGGGATAATAACAATGCCTTCTACTTAGAATTGCTATAAGGACTAAATGAGGTAATGTCATRTAAAACACTAGGACAGTTATTGAAACATTATTAAGCACTTAAAATTAGCTATAATAACTMTAAACCCCATGGTCTACTTCTTGGTTAATATATCTGTCTTCCACATRCTCATCTCTAGATCATAAGTTCTATGGAGATAGAGAACATGCCTTATAAATATAAGTCCTTGGTACCTAATGTCATTCATTTTATTTATAATTTTTACTGAATGGCCCAATCATGTTAGCTGTGCAATCTTGGGCAAATAGCATACAATAGTATACACCTCAGTTTCTTCATCTGAAAAATAGGGATGATAGAAGTACTGACTTCTTAGAGTTGCTGACATGTGTAAAGTGCTTACACAGAATGAGCATTCAGTAGATGCTGATTATTGCCATTATGGTGTCATTATTATTATTTTTTATATTTAATCACTTATTGGGCTCTACTATGTGTAAGAACTGTGCTGGGCCTTGAAAATACAGGTTAATAATCCCTACCCTCACAAAGTGGGTGGTAAAGAAAAGTAAAACAATAGTCAGAACTGGAAGAAACAGATGAAACAGATTCTCTGATGCAGAAAAGCAGAAGTTCTATTGGGAAACAGACAAGAGGCAGTTAAAATAGAGACACAAATCTATAAAGGCTTTTCCAGAAGAGGTGAGGTTTCATCTGTGTCTTAATGATTGAGGTCAAGTTAGCTAGAAGAAAAGAAAGGCTACAGTATATGCCCAGAAAATGTAGGTCCCCTGTCTACATCCCCTTGTTCCTTGATACTTTAGTGCATAACAGCCTGACTTCCAGCCTCCTGCTCCTGGGTCCTCTGCTTGAGAGCTTCCTCTGGTTGCTAGAGCCCACTCAAGAAATATTAGGGAAATGAATACCCTGCAGGGCTCAGCATTCACAAATCAATGACAGGATTTGCATATCAGTATCCCAGCTCCTTTGCTTCTCAAGTTCATTGAAAAACATCCCAAGCTTGTTCCATACTATCTCCCTTAACTCCCTTCTCCCCATTGGACTTGAGCCCCAGATGTGCAGTGGTAATTGGTTTGTAATGTAACCTATTGCTCTCATTTCCTTCCAGGTCCCACTTCCACACTCCCCTACTGGTGTTTCCTGAGATTCCCTTTGAAAGAAAATACTTCCATTTGAATCCTTGTTTCAGAATTTTCTTCTTGGGACACTCAAATCAAGGCAGGGTTATCACACTCAAGCATAAAAGAAAACATCTGTCCAAAGGCCTGGATGTGGACAGTCAAGATGCTTTGAAGGAAATACAACTAGCTCTGAATGGCTGAAGAGAGGGGTTGTATGAGAAAGTACAGCTGAAGTGATAGTTTCTGACTGAAGGTCCTTCTATACCAGGTATGATGATCAATTTTATGAGCACTATAAGGTGCTCACACAGTATTTTGGTGTGTGGGTGAGGTTGTTTCTGGAGGAGATTAACATTAAATAGGTAGACAGAATAATGCGGATTGCCTTCCCAATGTTGGTAAGCATCAAACAGTCAGATGAAGACCTGGATAGAACATAAAGCAAGAGGAAACCCTCCAGCTAGACTGCTTTCATTCTTGTATGTCTGTTTTTTCCTGRCCCTGGAACCAAATCGAAACATTGGCTCTTTCTGGGTCTCAAGCCTGTAGGATTCAGAATAGAAGTACATCTTTGGCTCTACTGGTTCTTAGACCTTTGGATTCAGAATGGAGCTACACCACTAGTTCTCCTGGGTCTCCACCTTGCAGACTGAAGATCATGAGACTTGTGAGACTCCATAATCCTAGAGTCATTCTTTATAATACATATCTCCAATATACACATTATGTATGCATACATACACCATATATACATATATGTAAATATGTATTATGTGTACAGATGTACACATATTTCTAAATATATATATACATACATATGTACACATCTCTCTCTCTCTCTCTCTATATATATATATATATATATATATATATATATGTATATATATCCTATTGGTCCTGTTTTCTACTTTTCTGGAAATTACTGATTCACACACACCCAGTTGAAGGATATAAACTTTATTCTGAAAATCAGAGTGATTAATCAACTTTAGGCAGTGAAGAGTAACACCATGCTTTGAAAGATTTCTTTTTTTCATGAGAGGAATTTACTAAGAAATTATAAAATACATACCCAATATTTTGGTATTATTTGTATTAAAATCAAGCAGAAAATACTTTTGGTCTGGAAAGCACCTAATGTGCCATTACATATTAATAAAATCCACAGCAGCTCAACATTATTCTATATAATGTGCTTGCTTGAGTTATATTTAAGCTGCAGATTTCTACTGAGTTTTTTTTAACTTTCTCTCTAAGAAAACTAGGCACCAAAAAAGACAGTGTGTTAAAAAAAATAAGAAAAAGAAATGATAGCCCATGGAAATGGGAAGCCATGCCATTCAAAATTTGGAAGTATTTAGGAGACTGATGGAGCGTGGGCACAGAGCTGCTGCCCTTTTAAACAGTTCTTCAAGCATCATACTTCTTTGTTAGAGGACAAAAATGAAATAAAAGGTTTCTAGCCAAGGCGATACAAATACCATTTCAAAACAGAGAGCAATCCATCAGATGGTATTGTTCTGTGCATTCAGAAATGCCAATCCAGAAAATACCCCCTCTCTTCCCGGGAGTAGACCACACAGAGGGTAAAACTCCATTTCCTTTTAAGGGGCCTCTTTGATGGTAATTTCATAATGGATGCTGTTTTTATTCACCGCATCACTCTGTGTCAGATTACCCTGTTGAGTTCTTCA